TCACAGCAATAGAAACCAAACCAGACAATGTTGGAGACATAGTCTGGTTTGGAGAAATCATGAACTTGAAAAGGAGAGAGTCTGATGAGAAATCTTCAAAAACATCTTCTCATAGGCAAAAAAATCCTTCAGAAAGAATTGTAAGCTTTTGATGACTAAGTTTGTCCAGGGAATGTCATTCTGAGACAACTTCTGAGCATCTGGTCTCCAGGGCTGGCTCAAGGAACCGATTTAACAAGGTTTACACTTCTCTTTCTTATGAACATCCTGTTGTTTACTCACAAAGGAAAATAACAAAGAGTGCAGTGACAAAGGACAATGATGTTAATAATGCAGCAGTTTGCTATGTGGGATAATGTGATAAACCCAGTCAAATAATCAAAGCATCCCTGAAAGGGACTCTTAGGAGACAAAGACACCAGGCACTTGGTGACTTGATGAAAAGGAATTGCTATTAAAATCTAGTGGGAGATATATCCCCTTATTACAGTCAGATCGATTCCCAAGCAAGGACACTCAAGGCTATCAACGGATTGCTTTGTTTCTGGACTAAGAGTCTTGAGTTTGAGCAAGAAAGGAAACATTAATATGTTCTCATTGGGACCTCATCCTCGTTGAGCTTCCCCAGTAGCAGCAGGAACTCTTTTAGTAGAATTAACTGCAGTGATGAAATACAGTTTTAACACAGTCTTATCGGTAGTGTCTCAGCATGTCATAGGTAGGAAATCTGGAGGGTTTTGGAGTCAGGATTCAAGTAGTTTTAAGACAGATCCCTCAAAATAGGAAGTGGGAAGGATTGGGCAGAGAACTGATGAAATACTTGTTTAGGATCAGCAGACAGAAGTGAGAATTTTGATATATCAGTTATTGATCAGCAGGCTGTCAGGTGACAAACAATATTTTTTAATATATTGATTTGCTAGTATATCCTGAAACAAATATAGTAAACTTAATTATTTGCTTTTAATCTTAGCTTTCCCAGTCTAGAGTTCCGTAGAACATACTACTGGCTCATCTTGACATTGCCTGAAAATGTATCAAATTGTTTTTGACGTGTCAGCATTCTCAAAGCTTATAATTTTATTGAGAAAGGAGAACAAAATTTCAAAACTGGAAATTTTACAACAGTAAAAAAAAATTAGAAAACAACAAAATCAACAGTAAAAATTATAATCAAAACCAGGAAAAAGGATCAACACTATAATTAGAGAGTTCTAAATTTCCCTGTCAGGTATGATTTGAATATTATACTTAAGAAGCTCAAAATTCATACCTAACAAAAACAACACATGCATAAATATTCAAAATAACAGTTTGATCACAGAGAATTTACCACTTTTTCTAAAATGTGTGCAATTTACAGTAAAATTACAAATAAAAATTATAAATTCATAAATTCTTTATCTTTAAGCTTAAAATATACAATTCAAACTTTTTAGTTAAATAAAAATATCAAGAAGAGCTCAAGACATATTTAAATCTGCTCATCAGAGGCTGATGAGATGGCTCAGCAGTTAAGAGCACTGTCTGCTCTTGCAGAGGACCAGGGTTCAGTCTCCAGCACCCATATGGCAACTAACAGCCATGTGTAATCAGAGTTCCAGGAGATCTGATTCCTTCTTCTGGCCTCTGTGTGCATTGCACACATATGGCATACACACTTACATACAGCAAGGCAAAACACACATAAAATGAAAACTAAAAAAGAAAACAAACTCCTCACCAAGACAAACTTAGGCTAAGAGGAATTTAGAACATAACTTGTGTTTTCAAGTTTTGTTCCTTAGAGATTTTATGAAAAGCAAATGATTTGAGCAATTAACTAGAAAATTTTGAATGAGAAGAACCAAGTGAGCAAAAAGGACTAAATAAGCAAAAATGACTAAAATCAGATATGAGTAAACAGAATGGATGTTAGAGAATGCACAGTATGTAAAAGGGACTTAAGGGCTACATTTGAAAAAAACACTGACTGGTTGCTTGGGTCTGCAGCTGTCTCCTTAAACAGGTTCAGATTCTTGCTCAACTAAAATATAGACGTGTTAAGCTCTTAAAAGATTTCTGTCTAAAAACTGGTAATAATGCCAATTAGCCCTAAATTTATCTAATCTTTCATTCCACTTCAAGGCTAAGGATGCCAAGATAAGAATAAGATAATTGCAAGATTCCAAGAACAGTGAATCATACAGGCCAGTTGACTCAGTGGAGAAAGGAACACTGGCCCCATGTGGGAGCAATTACCCTACCATAAGAATCAAGGCTGTCCCCCAACCCTAAGTGGGAACAATCATCTCTGGACACAAACCAAAGAGAACTGAATTGCATTCTCAAGCAGTAATGATTTTCCTTGAGCCAGCAGACCCTCTAAGCTGAAAGAAACCTGATGATAAAGACCAACCAGACCAGTTTGTCTAAGACTGCTTGACTATGGTACTTCTTGTTCCAGGTTTTCTCCTTCCCCTTTAAAAGCTTGAAGCTCTTTTCATTACCCATACACGCCTTGGTATCTTCACAGTGAGGTCATTCTGAACATTCCTTTTTTTCATCACTATCGTTTGTCTCTGATGGACTTTCAAGGTGGCAGGTGGTTGAATCTGGCCTGTGGAATCCCCAAAAACCTTGGGGATTGACATAGTCTTATTGCTACTTGTCATCAAACACCATCTTCAAAGATACAGAAACCCAATAAATACAACAGACAGAAACTGTTGTCCAGCTGTGAACTAATTCTCTCCTCTCAGTGTCTACTGGTATAGTGGTATTTCAGGAATAAACAAAACAAAGCAAAACAAAAACCAAATAAATAATAAATTAATAATGAAATAATAAAACAAAAAAATTGCACTGCTTTAGAAGTCCTGTTGCAATGATAGATCTTGCATGAAGTCAATGATGGACTAAAAACCAATAAAAAGGATGTTAAACTTAATCTGTTGGTGGGTCAAAGAATTTTCTAGGGGTTGATCGGGAAAAAAAAGTCCTATTCAACTCTTTTTTACTTTTAAAAACATTATTTTTAAAAAAAAAACTAATGCTGCAAACTAATGTATTGTTTTTTACTTTTAAAATTTATTTTGCAATGTGAAGATTTCAACCTTGTGCTTCGTGAATGGTAAGCATTCTGTCAATGAGGCTTCTGATGTCTAAACCCTGCAAACTAGAATTCTAGTGGCATGGCCATGCATCTGTTTTTACGACTACTTTCTATGACTCCAAGTGCAATCAATGTTGAGACTCACTGTACTTGGTACAAGGTTACAAGGAAACTCCATTTTCAACTTTAATTTCAATCCAGTCTGTCCTGAGCTTTTCTTTTCTCATTACTTTATCAAGATATGGAGATAAATATGGCGAATACAACAGGAACACAGAAAGAAGGTGATATATTGACTATGTCCAGATCCCAAGATATCTCAGTACTCTGTAATGGACTGATTGGCATGAGAATATTTCTTAATGATAAATAAAAAAGCACAGATTTGGGCACAGTAAGCCAATCCCACAAATGCAAAGTAATGCAGATATGACTAAATGGCAATACTCATGAAAGATTCTTGAGAAATTTGGTTGACTTTTAAGTGCCCATTGAATTAGTACCCTGAGTTGGCTGCCAAAAGTAAACTTGGTCCAAGGCTATGTCAACAAATGCTTACTGTCTGGACAAGGAAGACCCTTTTCTGCATGTCTTACTGAAATATTTTAAGTATGGAGCCATCTCCTGAACAGTATACTTAGTGAACATAAACTTAAGAGTATAATGCATAAGGAAAACTGGAGATTCCATATTTAAATAAAAAGGAAATCTTTGGCTGGAAAGAAATCTAGCCCAGGGCGTATGTGACAGATACTTCCAAAATGTTTGAAGAGCTTATATGTGGAAGTTGATTAGGTTTACTGTGTAAAATGTCAAAGTCAAAAGCAATGCATAGATAGAGAAACATCAGCAATGTTGGTCTTCAGTAACAGCAAAAGAGAGCTACACTGTGGAGGGGTGGCTGTTGGCTGCTTTGGGAGGTACCTAAGTGGTTAAGTAAAGGATGGATAGGGAGAATCCCAGATCTTAGGATTTGACTCACATGAAGTCTCTTCTCCATCCATGAACTTGCACTGACATAGCTTCAGCGGAAACAATGTTGCCCCTATGCTTGTGGTCAAAACTCCCTAACTAGATTTTCTGCAACCTGTTCACCTGTCCCAAGGAGGAAAGCAGTTGATGCCACTAGTAACAACAAAGTTCCTGGGTACTTTCCCAAAGGAGAATGCCTTAGAGCAGATGTCGCTTTCTAATCATTTGTCCCATTCTCATCTGCTTTCTCTTGTAACTCAATCCAGGTCTTGCAGAAACTGTCCTTGACGTGTTTTTCTCAGATTTGGACCCACCTCTCCATCTGCTTGAAGTTTAAATTTGCATACAGGTCATTAGCATCTATCTCAATAGGGTGCCCAGCAATCTGAGAAGCCCAGTAGTTCTTGCTTTATCAAAAGAAGAGAAAGGGGAGTGGGGAGCAGAGGGAGAGGGAGGCATTCCTTATTCCAAGGCCTCTGGGGTCTCTGCCACAATGATGATTTTCTCTTGTAATTTTTAGAACATACAGGCTGTTTCCAAACTTCGCAGGGCTCTGAGGACAAGGGGTTCTTAGAGTAGGACATGATCCCAAGGGGCCAGAAGCACACAGTACCCACTCTACCAACTTTCCTCCCTCTCTCCAAGTGCCACTTTGGCTCTGTTGCCACTGAAACTGGTCTTGGGGATGAAGTTCCAGTTCCCAGACTGAACTTGCACCACTCCCAGCAGGTTATGGGAGGGATGGAGAGAGAAGGGGGACGCGCGAGGAGGGAGGTGGGGCAGGAGGGAAGCGGGGCGCAGAAGGGAGCGAGCTTCCGAGGGAAAGTGAGAGGGGAGGGCAGGCCGGGCTCAGCACGCTCCCTCCCTCGGCGGCTTTCTCTCACATAAGCGCAGGCAGAGGGCGCATCAGTCATGCCCTGCCCCTGCGCCCGCCGCCGCCGCCGCCGCCACCACCACCTCTCGCCCCGCGTGCAGGAGGCTCGATCGCCGCGGAGCTCGCGGGCCTCGCCGCCGCCAGGCGCCCCGCCGCCCTCCTCCCGCCCCCGGCTCCGCCGCCACCGCCTTTCCCGCGGCTCCCGAGGCCCAGCTCTTTCACTTTGGGCAAGGGGAGGGAGGAGGGGGACGAGGGTTCGGCTGGCTCCGCCGGACGAGTTGAACATTGCGGGGTGTCTGGGCTTTACCCCCCTTCTTTGCAAAACACCAAAACAAAAACGCGATCTGCTGGGCCGCCCTCCCGCGCCCTGGCTTCACCTCGCGGGCTGCCACCGAGGGGAGCTCGGATGTCCGGTTTCCTGTGAGCCTCCTACCTGACACCCGTCGGCTCTCCCCGGCGAGAGCAGCTTGCAAAAGTCGGGAGCCGCTGAGCCGCGGATCCGCTCCCGCCGCCCTCGGCTCGCCTAGGGTGGTCCCCGGAGGAAGCCGCGGGACAGGGACCAGCAGGGGACCTGAGCCTCGCGCCCAGCTGCCCCGCCCGCGGACTGCCTCCCCACTCCCGGTCCTTCCACCATGCACTTGCTGGGTTTCTTGTCTCTGGCGTGTTCTCTGCTCGCCGCTGCGCTGATCCCGGGTCCGCGCGACGCGCCCACCGCCGCCGCCAACTTCGAGTCGGGACTGGGCTTCTCGGACTCCGAGCTAGACGGGGGCGAGGTCAAGGTAGGTGCCGGTGCGCCGGGCTGGGTTGCCATCCGCGGCGGATCTGCCCCGTGGGCTCGACTTTTCTGGATTGTATGGAGAACCTGCAGAAGAGGCTGTGCGCTTATTTACTTAACCTTTGGATCCAAAGTTACAGCTCTGTGCAAGCTTCCTTAGCGGAAAGTTGGAAAGTTTCTCTCTCTCTCTCTCTCTCTCTCTCTCTCTCTCTCTCTCTCTCTCTCTCTCTCTCTCCCCCCCCCCCCCCGCTTTCTCTCTTTCTGAAGCTACAGGAGGGAAGGGCCCAGAGACGTGTCTAGTAGGTCGAGGAAACCTCTTTCAGAGTGGCCTCTGTTGGTGCCAAGGGGAGCTTGCCCCTTTGCCCTGGGGGCGCTGCTCTGGAAAGAATTTCATTCTGGTTGGAAATGCTCCTTTCTCCCCCTGGCTGGTCCATGGAGTGTTCAGAGCCGAGCTCCAGGCTCTGTGCGCTGTTTTAGAAAAAGTGCAAGGGAATGTAGTAACTAGGTTTGAGGGTTTAAGATTTCAGAGTTAACTTGAAGTCGGTCACATTTTAGATGTAGCTGGCGGTTGGAGTATTGTAGATCAAATAACTTAGCGAAACTTTTTTCAACTTTATCAGTGCTGTGATTATAAACTCTAGTTATGAGGTACTAAAAAATTAAAGTGACTTTTTTATTTTATTTAGTTTTAAAATAAAGAATTATTTACCTAAAATACTAAATTATTTTGAAGGAATTTTGATTCTCAAAAGGAGTTATCTGTCTTGTTAATGTCTACTCACGGGGACTTTGTAAAGAATACATTTATAATATTTGCTTTAAGAGTATAGACTTGATAAAGTTGAACTTCTGAAAAAGTTTTATGTTAGTCGCTCTGTGAAGCACATCACCCCAGTTCTTATACCACCCTTGATTGAAACTTGAATGCAGTGGTTTAATGCAGCTGACTGCAAGTGGGGGAGGGTTAGGAGCTTGTTACTCTCAACTTTCAATTGACTTTATTGATGGAAATATACTCAACACGTAGAAATCAAATTACTTCCTCAGGTATAGTCTAAGACATACTTTAAGACTAATGAGATTATCTTTGTGCAGAACTTAAGGAAAAATATCAGAATTTATAGTTCAGTAGAGGGATCAAAGAAACAAAAGTGAATAAAAATGATACACATTAAGCTGCTTTATGAGAATTGTAATTTCTTTCACAAATACATTGCTTTAATTAGTGATGACAATATCCCGACTTTAAATGACACAAAAATATGGTATTGGGCCACTAAAACTTCCTGTAATTTGAGCCTCTGAATTTTGCACATACCTAGCCTCTTCTGTTTCTGCAAAGTCAAACTAATTTAAGACTGGCTTAGTCAAGGGATACCTCCATAGCCTCTGATAACTACCTTTGCTTTACAGTAGGAAAGAGTGAAGCCTTAAGTAAAAACAGAAGCATTTCCTGATAAGCCAATGGCTTATTATACGAGTCAGTCACCACTGGGTCAGTCTTGAATGACTGTACCCGAGAGAGAGAGAGAGAGAGAGAGAGAGAGAGAGAGAGAGAGAGAGAGAAAACACTGGTGTTCCATATAGGTAGAGAATTACAGGTTTTTAAAAGATTATTTAATTTAAGTTTTCAAGACTGTTTTCATTGACGATGTAATCAATTTCTCATTTTTTCTGAAAATCAGTACTTTTATCTTGTAGATGCCGCTACATGTTTAACTATCTTTTATATTCTATTTGTTCAAAAAGAATTGGTATTCTATATGTGCTTTTTTTTTTTAACCAGTATGAGGAAACAAGCTGTTTTAAATCATAGACAGTATTTTTTTGCTATACTAAACTGTTCTCTAGTGGGTGAGCAGGACCTTCATAATCTGTGCAATTAATGCCTCCAGTGTAACTGCAATGTACCTGCTATGAAACTTGCACACAACTGACCACAACATTAAAGACTCCATGTCTCTCCTTAGTGGCCTATACAAGGAACTCCTTTAGATTTAGATATTGGAGAACTGGAGAGAAACCAATGGTTATTCTTCTATTAACAACATAAACCCTGAAAAGATATTTCCAAGATAAATAGAAGGTGCTAATTATATATAATATCAATAGGTACAGAGTTTTGGTAATTAATATCTATGTAGAGTTTTAAAATTTACAAATATAAAAAAGTTAATAAACTATGAACCTAGGCTAGAGATTTAATCCTTCACATGGCCTCTAAAGCCATACATAATAGTTGAAGGTGAGTTTAGTAGGTTGTCTTTTCTATATATTGATGGCTAGATGATTTAAATGAAAAGACCTAAAATGTTTTTTGAAGGATGTTAATTCAAGCAAGTAAGTATCAGAAAAATAAGGCATGTAAAAATAAAATTAACATGATATGGTGGACATAAAAAGAAACATTAAAAATTTGACATCAAATTAAAACTACAACCTCAGAAAAAGCAACGGATTATTACTTCTACTTATTTGCCATATGAATTTAGTTAGAGTTTGCTCTGGTGAGTTGGAATTCAGGAATTTGATTTTAAAAGTCATTGGTTTATGCAGAAACTAAATGAAAAGGAAGATATTTCACATATAAAGTGTAGTTATGAAACTTAAAAATACAATTTTTTTTATTCTTTGAGAATTTTATGCATGTATACAATGTATTTTGATCATATCCATCCTCTATTTTCCCCCTTAATCTCCTTTAAGGTCCCCTAAGTCTCCATTTTAATTTCATGACCTCTTCTTTTATTCTTAAAGTAATGTGCTGCACTAAGTTCTTATGTATTGTAATTTATAATAGACCAGATTTTCTTGATCTATTTTATATTATTCTTAGTGTTTTATTTTGTTATTTATGGTTTCAGTGTAATCAGTGGTGGTTTTCTTCATGGTATCATATGTGTGCCAACTGCATCAGAATTCCTTAGAGGTCTTTGTCTCTCTTTTCTATCCTGAGACCAAGCAAATCTAAGGGTGTTGGTCTAGGAATATCCCAAGTCATTTTTATATACAATAAAAGCATTAGACGGTGTGTACTAATGATTGACTTTATTGGTTTTGAGTTTACAAAGTAACCTATCAGACAGGAGTCATTTTGAAAGACATGCCATTTTCATTTTTTTCAAGGAGTTTTCCATTCAGGTTGTGAAAAGTAATAGCTTATGAACAAAATTCTTAGGGAATTTATTATCTATTATTAGGGAATTGGTATTAAAACACTGTGTACCTTCTGAAGCCGGGGAAGAGACTCATCAATATGTTCTTGGACCTGGAAGCCTTGATCTGAGAGCAGAACTTCCACTGGAACTTGGATCCACATTTTCAGCAGATGAATTCATCAAAACCAGAACCTCTTGGGTAGGATGGAAAGATCAAAAGGGAAACAGAATAGTTCAGAGTTGAGGAGTTTTATAGGTAACAGTGAATTCTCATAAATACAATGACTGTGTCACCAGCCAGTTTAAAGAGTTTTAACTTAATACTGTGGGTTGTAGAGGAAGAATTATTTATGATCTAAGCAAATAGCAAGCAGATTATTGAAATCAATCATAGGATTGGATTGAGGTCAGAAAGACTTTTACTCGGGGGTCTAGTTAAGAAGAAAAAGAAATAGGTTAGATGGAAACTGATGCACAGCCCCAGCAGAGGATTGTCAGTGGAAATAGATGAAGGAGATGTTAGAAAGGAAGGACCTATCAATCTGGTGACTAATCTGGGAGTTGAGGGAATGTGAGAAATTAACCCTGGACTCAGTATAGGGCAAGATTGTTTTCACTTCTATGACTAGGTATTTCATAGAAGATGAGTAGTGGATGGTGACTGTATTTTTCCATAAATCACTTAAGATTTTCCTAGGAAGATTTAGGTAGATTTAGGAAGTTTTTTTGCTTGCTTCTAATTCTGGGCTCTTGAACTGCCCTGTTCATATCTTAGTTATAAAGTAGAAATTTGACTCAACTCTATCAGGGCGTTTGGGTACACGGGAGCTGGAGTTAGGAGAATGAGGGCTTCCCGCAACTCCAGTTTGCTTAGCAGCTTCAGGCTCATATCTGAGTACCAATCATTATTCTGAATATTTAGAATAAGGATCAACAACAATGATTTGGACGATCCACATAGGTTCTGCATCTTATAACCCGATACCATTGCACTTTTCACTTCATCTCCACTACAGTTTCATTAATGGCAATGAACCTAAAGGACAAATGACTTAATCAAGAAAAAGAAGAGTCCTTCGTGTGTGGAACTGAGGTATTGGAGGAAGTGGTGTATATATTTGTTCTTATAGGTGTGCAGGTACAGGTGCCTGTGTGTACCCATTCCTAAATTTGGGGGGACGACAGTCTCACGTTGAACCTGGAGTTCATACTCATCGATTTTGCTAGGCAGGCAGCCCAGTGAACTCCATGGATCTGCCTGTTTCCATGTCATGTACCCGTCCCTTGGGTTACAGGTGGACTCTGCCATGACTGGTATTTTATGTGGGTGTTGAGGATCAAACTGAGGTCCTCATGCTTGTGCAACAAGGACTTCATGAACTGAATCATCTCCCCAGCCCCCAAAATAGATTTTTTTTTTTGCTGTTGTTGTTTGCTTTTTTTTTTTCTTTTATAAAACTGTAAAGATTTTGCATATTAGGAAAATGCAGTAATGGTTTGTTTATTTAGGTTTATGAAAGACCCTTTCAGAGTTTCTATACTTTCCTCTTCCATGGGAGCAGTGTGCAGAAAGGCAGAGAGAAACATATTACTCTGCCACAAGAGCCAACAAGCTACGTTTATTTATGAAATGAGCAAGAACTTTCTTCCCACCTTTACCCATCCCCTTTGACTAAAAATGGTCCACAAATGCCCTAATCTTTAATTTTTATTCATTTATTTGTTCATTTGAAAAACGGTTCATGTAGGCCAGGCTGGCCTGGAATTCTATGCATCCCAGGATGACTGTGTATTCTCTCACTGAACAGCCTTTTTCTGCCTCCTGAGTGATAGGAGTGCAATCATT